TTCTATGTCTCCTTATCAACCAAAAAGGGAATTTATAAGATTGTTCTTTTTGGAATCTATGTTTTTCTATTTTTATAGACACACTTCTAGCTAGCTTATTTCTTTATGAAACCATTGTGTCTATTCCATGAAATATCATGCAATGTTGAAGGAAGGAACAATATAGAATTTCTACGTTCCTAGAGACATCATGCTTCCTTTATAGCGACAACATGGTGAAGGAGTGCTAAGAACAAAATGTTCAAAAATTTGATTCCATTCCCATGAAGTCATGCAACTAAGTTTAGGGGGCATTGTTTACACCCATTTTTACAACAAATAGAATAGTGCCACAAGTTATCCATGTTGGCAGATATTGTTTGTTGAAGAATCATTTTGTTGATGTAGATTTCTCTCAAATAAAGCTTGGTTGGTTGTTTCTACGTCATCAACAAAACAGTTTGGTTGTTGCATATCTTTAAGAGTATGATCAGTAGTATTAACAAGTTAGTTGGTTTGTTACAGATTTCATACCACCATCAGTTTCCAAGATGTTACCAATAGAACTCCACTATGTTGCTAAGGTGCTATAAATACCCAATGATGAGATCAATTAAGGAAGACCTACCTTTTACACAACAAGCCTAGTGCTATTTGCATTTCAATTTTAACAAGCAATGTCTTTGTTTAATTTTCTTAGACAATTATCCTAATTTAGTCCTCAGCTCTATGCTGCCACTAGTTTTAGCTCTAGTTTTTGTTATTTTGTTTTGAACAGCTCCACTAATATATTTGATTTCTTATAATTCAATTACTGTACTTTGCTCTAAATTCATCTTCCTAACTTCCTTTAAATTTAGTCTTATGCTTCCTTGATTGTATAGTCTTTATTTCATTCTTCATGCTTACATGCTTTCGCAGCAATTTAGTTTTCCTATCATACGCTTTCTTTCTTCTCTTTTCCTTTATGTGTCTCTTTTATTTTAATTAGCAAACTAACATTTTGGCCCTAGTTGTGGAAGCCCCTAATGTTCTTTCATGGCAATTATTTATGAACGTTTATGCCGCAATGCATCCCCATTTCTATGACAATTGTTTGACCATGGCACATGTCATAATTTATTTAACCAGTACTCTTCCATCAACTCATAATCGAGTTCTATGCTTGGAAATAGTGAAACTCACTGGGAATCCCTCTTTCTCATTTTGAGTAAAGTGAGTGGCATGTTTTTGTAGTCTTATTTGCCACGCAACCAAAAAGAGAGATTTTGGAGGCAACACCTAGCAAAAATCTGATGTTGATTTGGAGGAGAGCGTGCATTATGAATCAAAAAATCAACTAAGAAGATACAAAGCCCAATTCTATGAACTCCCAAAAAAGCCCTTAAACATTGTTGCATTGATTGGATTTCTTGTTATTTCCCGTCTTTTTTCGAAGGCCCAACAATATTGCTAAACTATTCACATATTTTGGCCCCAACCTATGGTCTTTGTGCCACATTAATTTTAAAACCCAAGATTAGGATCATATGCCTATGTGATTTGTTTCAGTCTTTTATTGATCTATTGGTTTGTACACCCTCTTCTTTGCACAGTAGTAATTTGGATGAAAATCCCATGTTCAAGTTAGAAGTTTGAAAATCAATTAAAAGAATTGATGGCAATTTTGTTTACTTTCTATAGTTTTGAGTTGTTCCTATTGCTTGAGTTTGGTTTCTACGTGTTCCTCCCTCCCACGATACAAGGTTGTTGCTACCTTTCCTTAACGGTGTAAATCTTTTTATCAATTCTTGAGTTTGGTTATTACAGCAAGTATACATTCTACGTTGTTTGACATTTACTATTCTATATGTACAAAGAAAATTTCATCTCCATTTTATAATTAAGTAGATAAGATTTTTTTTTCATGGTCTTGATTTTGCATTTTCATGAAAACCTGCAATAATAGCATGTCAAAACCATATAGGAAACATGGGCAAATGGTATCATTAACTATAATATACAAAATGTGGCTCCTCTCCAAATGCCCCACTTTGCCCTTGCACAATACCGACTTGAACTGGGTTTTTCGTCATTTCGAGACTTTACAATGGAAAGTTACTGTAGCTAGACTAGTTGTTGTCCTTACTCATAGATCACTATCTCATAGACTATTTTTGGACTATTTATAGATTATTCATTAATTTAATGGCATTTCATGTAAATCAATTGCCTTCCTTTTTGGTTTTTTTGGGCAATTCAATGTGTTTCTGAGTTATGTAACTTGATTAGTTACGTAACTTGATTTCTAATTCCTTCTCCACTACTTTGTTTCCTCAGTTTTGTGCGTAGATATTATTTATTTATTTATTTATTTTTTCCATGTGTTTCTTTAACTAGCCTGCATTAGTCTGGCTAATATTAATGCTGAGGAAGCACCAAAATTCTTTTATATATGTTATTTTATTTCTTTTTTACCTTATCTTATGATCTGTTGGTAATAAGATTTTTTTTATGGGTTTTATAGTAATTATATTTTTACTGTATCAGAATATTATGATAGTAATTATGTGGAACCTAGGAATCACATTTCTAGGAAAGCCATAGTATTGCCTTCTCTTTCAGCTCAATCTCCTTGCTTTTCTTGATTATATCTCTTCCTCTCTCACTCTGTTAAATTTTGCCTTTATATTTTTATTTCTCGAATCTCTTCCTTGTTTATGGGTGTGATTTCTATGCTTTTTGTGAGGTATTCTTTTATATAAAATCAACAAAATTTAATAATGTATATTGATTTGTAAAATAATAAATACAAATTATAATGAATTTGAAAAAAATAATAACAATTTTTGGTTTGAGGTGTTACAATGCATGTATTTAAATTTTAATTAGTGACACATTTTAAAATAACACAACCCTTTGATTAATAATTAGATTTAGGAAGGCAATGTTCTGAGTTCGATCTTGTCCTATTTATATAGCTAAGAGAAATTTGCCAAATGACCTCTCAAAAACCGTTTATTTTAAGGATAATTTATTTTTTTATAAATAAATTTAATTTAATTTAAAAAATCTTTATTTAAAGTTTTATCATCTCAACTTTCAATGTTTACTCAAGTGAAATTATTTTAATTTTAACAAATTTTTTTAATATCTATAAATATCCCCTCACAATTAATCTACTTGTATATATTTTATATAAAAAAGTAAATTAATTTTAATATATACTCATTTTACAAAAAAAAAAAAAGTGAAATTTCAACGAACGGTTAAACTTTTTTTATGACTTCTCTTTGGGCCCCCTTTTTTTTTGAGCCCGTATCGACGGGCTTTCTTCTTCTTTTTTTTTCTAAGTCCGTTTATGGACTTTTCTTTTTTTTTTTTTTTTTAATGTCCGTTTATGGACTTTTTATTATTATTATTATTTTAAGTCCTTTTACAGGCTATTCTTTTATTTTTTAGTCCATTGAACGAAGCAAATTTGTTTGAAACACAAACTCCTACTCTCCAAAATCTCATCCACTGTAACTGCATCGGCTGCAAATTCTTGTTTTAACTACAAATCAAAAGAAGTTTAAACTCAAACTTGAATAAATTAAAAGATTTCAGATCTGCCGTAATCCAAAGCCTTCCCATCCACTCTATAAATTGATGCTTCTGGGAGAGTAAAGCCATAGAGCAGCAGCATTCTTCAATTGAAGTAGGTTTCGCCTTCATTTTTTTTTTTTTGAACAATTTGACGCTTAGAGCAGCAATGATCACCTACCAGAGCAGTTGCCATTTCCTACTAGAGCAGCAACAATCACCAACTAGAGTCCTTTGTCCTTATTCTGACGATAAAGTAGCAGCAATTACCATTCTGGAGCAACTTTTGCCCTGATGCAAAGCCTCTCATAGGCCTCCTGCTCCTTTCTAAACTGTTATTCACTGCTACCATTGCTAATTGTCCCTCAGCAACAGCATCAGTGTGAGTGTTCTCTGCTGCATATATTTATTGTACCAATCTTCAAATTGTTGTGTCTTCAAGATAAGCTTTTTACGGGTTTCTTCAGATTTTTTTTTCTCTTATTTAATTCCATCCTCTTGATGATGTAGGACAGTATCCACCAAGACAGCGAAGTTGGAGATGGTAATTTGTGCAACATCATCTTGAAGTGTATCCAGGTGATGGGTATGCTCTCTATTGTCCTCCTCTCAGTTTAAAACTTGAGTGTAAAAAAAAAAAAAAATTGTTGTACCATGTCAACCTTTGGCCGGACATTTTTAGCCTTTACTGAATATCTCTCCTATATCTCCTATGATCATGTCATTTGGTTTCAATTTTTTTAATTTTGTCCACATGCTGCTGCATTTTTTTTTTTCAGGCATGCTCCCACATCATAATTGCTAGAAACAAGAGTCATTGATGTGTTTATTTTTTTAGATTATGGAGAGACATGAACTTGAACTTGTAGACCCCTTAGGACTTGAAATTTGTCAATTTGTGGCTTGATTGCATTGGTGGTTCCCAACTTGTAAATTTGACAACTTGCAACATTCAGATTGGCATGTGACTAAGCAGACCCGCAGCGCATGATTTAAAGCCTTGTGGCTTATGCTATTCAGACTTGCAACTAGCAAATTTGACGCAAGCATGCAAATTTTATTGTCCCAGATCACGAGATTTTACTTCGGACTCAGGCATGGAGGTTCGACTAGGACAAGTTCATTCTGACCTTGACCTAGACATGCTCATACCATTCCAGACATGGTGATTTTGTTCCACACCCAAGATTTGGTGCCCAACCACAAAGATTTCATCCTTACTTGGAGATTTTGTCCTTTCTAAGAACATGAAGACTTCATTTTCACCTCAGACATGGAGATTTTACCTCAACTATGAAGTTCTTACCCCAACCATGGAGCTTCACCTTGAACATGGATACTTTGCCTTGGCTGTGGAGTTCTTGCCCCAATCATGGACGCTCCACCCTGAACATGGAAACTTGTCTTGCTCGAACACGTCGGCTTGTCCATGGAAATTTCGCCTTAGTGCTAGAGATTTTTGGTCTTCGACTTGGAGATTCAACCAAGACTTGGTGATTTGGTGAAACGTCCCCTTTTGAAGCTCAACAATGTAGCAAGTGAGACTTGATGCACCATCAAGTGGCATGCGGGACTTTAAGATTGATCAGGCGGCAGTATTACAAAACATAGTATAACCAACAAATTTATAATTGACAGTCAGTTTCTTGTCGATTATATAAAAGTTGTCGATTATATTATTCTGTCAATTATGTATTTTATTGGCCTATATAATCAACAACTTTTTTTTGTCAATTATTCAAGTATAATTGACAAAAAATTGATTGTCGATTACGTACTAAATATAATTAATAGAAGTGTTGTCGATTATATGGAAAAATGATGTGGTTTGGTAGTTGCGGTTCTATATAGTTGGTTGAAAAAAAGTCAAATTTCTAGTAGTGCAAGTCTTGAAAAATTGATTCTTTATAATTTTAAAACCAAAAATTTTATAGAACAATCAATAAAAAAAAACTAAACAAACCCCCCTAAAAAAAAAAAAAGAAAAAAAGAGAGAACTAGATAAACCAAACCTATTCATAGGATACTTACAACCTTTATAGAGCACTTGCTTGGAATCAACCAAAATATGCAAATGAGAAAACTTACAGAACATCAGTTTAAAGAAACAACACATCAATTTAAATAAAAAATTTAAAAATTTAAAAAAAATTTAAAAAAAGAAAAAAAAGTTACGCATATAATCGCCAACTGAATTTACTGTTGATTATATATATAATCGACAACTATTTGCTATCGATTATAGTAACATAATCAACAGCAAATTCAGTTGCCGATTATACTCGAAACCTGTTGATTCAATCTAAAAAAATTAAATTTCCCACCAGATTAGATTTGAAACATAATCGACAATTTTCTTTCAATATAATCAACAGAATTTCTATTGAATATATTTTGACTATAAAAGGGCTCCAAAACCAAAACATCCCATTGCCTTCTCCTTTTCATCTTTGGTTATCTCTTCCCTTCTCCTTCTTTCCCACAAGTAAAATATCCCATTTTCAACTTCTTCTCATTTTAATTTTTGTTTTCCTTTTTTCTTTCATCTTTTATATTCTCCCATTTGTATTTTTGCAAATATCTCTAGTTTTATTTCATTATTCATTTATACCTATTCCATCATTTTTTTTTTTGTTGACAATCCATCATCTTTTTTCTCTTCATCCTTCTCATTCAATGCATTTTTTTAATGCATCAACCAATTACTTCAATTTAGTTTTAACTAAGAATTCTTATTATTTAATATATTAATTTTTTTTTTGCAGATTTTATTACCTTAATTATGAGTAAATTTTTCTTTTAAATTTAATTTGTACTTTTTATTTTCTTTTATTTTAATAAAATCACAATGTATACCAATGCATTTTTCTTTTCCTTTTTTTTTTTTT